TGTATGTACTTAAAAAAAATTAGTTTTCTTATTATTATACACAACCACAATAATTATACATAAAAGTTTACCAAACACTTTGACAGTTTTATACTCACAACAGTTTCATTACGCTCAACTGCTTTATTTGAAAGTTGATTATTCTCAAGATAAACAATTAAATAATTTTTTTTTAAAAGTACAACAATACTAAACTGACACTACGGCTAACTCAAAGCCATTAGGTCATATTATTCAAACAGAGAATATATAAAGCACAGCTAGTTCTTTCTCATAATCCAACTCATAGGCTCATACTCGTGCCGGATCAATCAAATACGAAGCGATGCAATCGTTCATCACTTTTCCACCATGCGTGTAGGCATCACATTTTTTGTAGAGGAGATCCACCACTCTTGTTAGATTAACAATACGTTCAAGGATAGGCATCGGCATAGAAGTTGGTCTAAGGAACTCCTCGTTGATATCTTTCCACGAATCCACAATTTGTTTGTTGAAGACATCAATTATCTTGCTCATCTGAGACCCCATATTGCTTCATGTAACAATCAATAGCACAAGCAGCATGGCCCCTCCCTTTTTCAAACTGCAAAAATGGAATCCAGAATCCCAAACAAGAATCTAAGTGATGAAATAGTTATGAATTTTGAGAGACCTAAGTTACGTAATAGTTAAAGCACAATTTACTGTAGTTTCTGTGTACCTTGCTCGAAACGATGTCATCCATGAGCCTAGCAATGATATTGGAAGCTCTAAGAATTTTAGGGTCATTGAACAACCACTCAAAGGACTCCTTGGTTACAGTATCTCCCATGCCAACTAAAGTTGTAGTTGAAACTCCGAAGATACCAGCAGAAGTTGCAGCAACACGCATATACTTCTCCATGCTTGGGATGCATCCTTCATGGAACCATTTGGCCTCATCAAAGTAAGCTTTGGCAGTAGCTTTCCACTGCATATGTGGGACATAAATATTATGTAAATTAATTAAAATAGTGAAAATTAATAAGCGGTGTGTTAATTAATTAACATACAGCTTCTTTTGCATAGTGAGCTCGGTATGCTCTTCCTTCCTTCACCATCTCCTCCTCAATTTCATTGAAAACATTCAAAAGCGCATGGAAGAATATTTGCATGTAGTCTGGCAGTCCATCCATGCAATTGGCATGCCATCTGTAAATTGCATACACCATATTCATCTGAAGCATATAAACAAAACAATTTTTTTAAATAAATAATTTCAAACCTTTGATGAATTGCTTCGGTAAAGATCTCAAGTTCTTCAAATGTACCGTCATAGATATCATCCATTACAGACATCAGGGCAATAATTTTTGTGAGAAATTTTCTTCCAACAAGGTATTGGGGCTCAAAATAGACCCCCAAAATCCAGCAGTATAACTCCACAATTCTGTTTCTTGCAAAAGGCAGCTTCCTTCCAAAGTCTAGTTGTTTCCACCACCTAATTGACGGCATTAATTAGTGAATTACTAACTAAATTACAGTCGGTGTTCGTAATTAATCTCACATAATTAAAAGATAACCTACCTAATAATCTCACTGAGCTCCTGTTTGTGCAAAGACTGAACAAGATTGAAGTTTGACTTGGCAAGTTTTAATAGAGCTTCATTATGTGAAGCTTCATCCTGGTAGGTTGACATGTACCGATGGACACATAACCTCTCGAGACCCTTTCGCAGCAGTCTCTCTAAGGCTTGAAGTATTTGTTCTGCCAGTCGATAGCTTACATGGGTTGTTGCCGACTAGAGATGTTTGGTGGTGAAAACAAGAGCTTCTTCTAGTATATCTTCTCCATGCACCCTCAGATGAGTGGCTTCATAGAAGCTTAGCATGCCCGGCATATCAGCAATTAAGCTTTCCTTGAAGCCTCCATTTTTAATATCTTTGAACTTGTTGAATATTCCTGCTTGATTAATTGCAGCAAATGGACACATAAGAAATAATTTTGGCCAAATTCAATCTCCTTAAATTAATTTATCTAATAATTTAGCTTACTGCAAGAAACATTGTGTCCATCTTGTCTTAGTAGCCGAAAACCAAGAGAAACATTGTATAGATCACCATCACCATCATCATCATCATGGAAATGATTTGCAGCATATATATGTTGCAGTGCTTCTTCTATTTCCTTCTCAAAGTGGTACGCCACACCTAGGCGCTGGATTGCATCAATTAGCTTCATCTGATTTGAAAAATCATCTGCACTGGTTGTGAACACTTCCCTCTTCACTGCTAGTTTCAGTTCTTCAACTTCTTGTTGCTTATGGGCGTAAGTTATCTGCATCCACAAAATTGAACGAGCAAAATACATGTCAAATTTCTTTTGAAACAAAACATAGAGAAACATGCATTTAGTTATTGAAACAATCTGTATGATATATAAATTACAATGTCTTTTGAATCATAATTCATAAACTGATCACCCCAAATGCTCGGGTGGTAATTTGCTGTCTGTCGAACAATTTGATCAGCCTTAGAATTTTGTGATTGAGCTGTTGAACCAGCTTCTAGAGCCATGATTTGTACTTGTGTAAAAATGTCAGATCTTTTTTGCTCTGCAAGCAGTGGCGGAGCCAGGAATCATACCACAAGGGGTCATAGTGTA